CTCGGCGGCCGTTACCGCAGGATTGAACGGGGGGGGGGGAAGCCGAGCCCCTCAGGCTGCCTGAGGCAGGGTGCTCGCTGGGGCTCCCTGGCTTCTCCCTCCTGTGAGGGACGGAAGCGAGCAGCTGCGCGTTAGACCTCCTTTGGGCTTTGAAGTAGCCTTTTGTACTGGCAAGGCCTAGGAATTCTTCAGTGCTTTAAAATACTTGCTGGGTTGTCGGTTGTATTTCAGCCGGGGAAGAACCTGCTCGACGGTCATGGCTGAATGAAGCCCGTGGCGTAAATCTGCGGGCGCTGCTGTGTGCGGGAGCTGCACCCCTGCACTGCACAGGTGGTGGGTCACGCTCTGCGGTAGAGATGGCGAGGCACTGAGGAGGTCAGGGCGGTGGGGTAGTTGCCCATCTTTATACCACGTTAGCTGTAGGAGGATAAATCAGGAAAAAATACGTGGATAGAAGTGCGATAAATACTCCTGCTACGCAGTCGTTTTGCAATTGCATGTAATTGCAGTAGTGTAAAAATGGTTTCACTGATGTTTCATACGCTAACATGTCATGTGTGCTTTGCTCTTTCTTTTTTTGCAAAATAGTGAAAATGGTCTATAAATAGTTGCCATAATGAGTTTAGTAACCAAGTCAATGAAAAAAATATACACTTATTTTCTACTGTAACATCAGAAGTCTGTCGAGAAGAACACTTGTTGATGAGCACTTCAGATTGACGTGATACAAATTCTTGCACTAGGTAAACAGCACGGTTTTCCCATAGAATGAAAATATTTCTTCCTTTTGCTGTATGAAAAGTGACTATAATGAGTTGGATCCCTGTGGTGTAGTTTGCCTGATGTTTTTTTAAGAATCTTTCTAAGCCCTGAGAGAAACAAACAGTGACCAGAATTGTGGTTTCATTGAAATCAATATCAAAACTCTCATTGATTTCAACAGAGGCAGTATTTCACCTTGTATGTGGATGCAAAGACTTGGAATGAGTGTCTGGTACTGTAGATATAAACAAGATAAGTAAATTCAACAGCTCCCGTGGTTCTCCTTCAGTTCTGAGAAAATCGACAGGCAGAATTGTCGCATGATGTTTTCTTTATGCTGTCTGAGTGCTCTGATGGGAAATACATTTGCAGTAATGCATATTTGTAATGTTATTTATTGCATGAATCTGAATAATTTCATTAACAGGGAATATGTTGTTAGTAATTCAGGAATGTCATGCTGTACTAATAAATGAGTTGCCATATGAATAGACTGGAGGTGGAAATTTGAAAACTTGATATCCATTTCTTCACAGTCTTACAAAATTTTTCTTTTACTGCATTCTTTCTTGCTTTTCCCTTTTTTCTTTCTTTTTTCTTTCTTCTTCTTTCCTTCTTTCCTTCTCCCTTTCAAAGGAAAAGATAGTATAAGGGTGCTTTTCATTTCTATTTTATGGAGGACATAACTTTAATTTTCACTTTCTCTTTACCATGTGGAAGAATTCCTACTGGAACTAAGAAAGTTTGTTTGAAAATAAGATAATCAGAAGCTTAAAAGTGGAAAAAGTAAATCTGAAGCTTCATTTGCTCATGTTCCATTAAGAGTATGTGTTTACAGGATAAAAATTTACTGGTGTTAGGAAACAAACAGAAAAAACCCCACCATTTAATCAGAGGAAAAAACCCCTAAAATTTGTTGTTCTGACAGTTCTATTATGTCGGAACATTTTTGCTGAACAGACTGAATCTACAGGCTAAGATTTAAAAAAAAAAAAAACAAAACTGTTGTATCACACAAATTCCTCCAGGCCTTTCTGCATAGTAAGGAGATTAAGCAATTGTGTTCAGTTTAAGTTTAGGTGGAACAAGGGAGGTTAACATGCTTGTGGTAATATCATTGGTTAACTTCCTTTATTATGTCTTGTGTTATATTTCTTTTTCCTTCTTGGTCTTATGCTTGATTATTTTTCTGTGTTAGATCAAGGTGTACCTTTCCCTAGCATGCCTTCAGTGTATATTCTTATCTTTCCTGCAGCTTCCATAATTTTCTTCTCTATTGTATCCTATAACTTCTCCCTTGTTCTTTATTTATGGATATAATAGCTGTAATAGACTGTTCTGACTTCAGAACAAACACAAAAGAGGGACTAGCCTGTGTTTGTAGCTTTTCCTTCTATTCTCAATAGTCCTGTCTCAGAATCATGAATCTCTATTTTCCTTCCAGTAATCATTCTTAATACAGAGCTCCTCGTTCAAAATTCCGTGAATCTCTGCCACTTTATCTGATACATAGCCACCTCTTTGAATCCTTCTTCCCAGGGCCTCTTATTGCTTCATCCCACATTTTCCTGGGAAGAAGCTAAAGAAAACCTTGCTTTTGTGCCACAAAAAGTGTCAAAGTGTTGGTCCATTCTTCACTCAAAGTTTTCAACAGCAGTAAAGATACTATAGTATTTTGGTGGGATTTGGATAACTATACACCTGCTTCTTACAAGTTTCAAACGGTAATTTTGAAACAGTAAAGACTGGTCATGCAGATTATTTAGAGCAATGAAAGCTTTGGTTATGAAGTCTTCGACAGTACACAGCCAGATTACCTGACTGCAGGCCATGGACAACTGTAGATCTTCAAACTGTGAATATAAACAAGCCTTATTAAAGGTCATACTCTTTTTCTCTCATGAAGCTAATCCATGGATTTATTGAATGGTTCACTAAACTGTTGTGTGTATTAGAGATTTGTTCCAGCCTTTCAGAAAGAAAACTATTATATACATATGGATGTTACATCAGAGCCTAAATTCATTTTGAAATTTAGAAAAACAGTGTTTCTCCTTAGAAAACAGTGGGGTTTGCATATTTTTTAATTTGTGTTGTGAAATTAAAAAAAAACACCACAGGATAAGCTAGAAAAAAGGTTGGAATTTTAGCCATTGGAAGTGTACTGTACTCGCCTCAGAAAGTTCCGTTTACTTTTTGTATGTCTAGGCAATGTATGCAAGTAGAAATTTCTTCACTTACAGAGAGAAATAATCTAATGTAGTTAATAATTTTATGAGGCCAAAATGTTGTATACTTTGTTAATACAGGATTGCCTACCAAGCTTATTTAACTGTGTGCTGTTGTATATATTGGATTTGTATGAAGGTTATTCATTGGGCAATGAATGCAGAAAATACATTGCACATCACTTATGTTAGCATATATTTGGATGTGCTTTTTCTTTCTTTCATTTCTTAGTAAGTTTTAAGACCTTTTCTGGAAAGATATAGCCAGTTAAAATGGAACTCTTTCTAATACTCTTTTGTTTGAAGTAAAGTTACATAGTATCTTAGGGGGTGAGGGGAAGCAATTTTTTCTCTCTGCCCATAAAGAAAATGGTACAGAAAGAATTTACATATTGTTTTCAAGATTTTCCCTGGAGTACTTATCAATCTATGGATGTATTTGTTTTGGAGTCTCATCTCCTTCAGAAATTAGAAGCCTCATTTGTGCTTCCTCTCAGATTAAATGAACTGTGATGAGACGATGTTTTCTTCTGGCAGAAAATGTAATTCAGGCTAGGTAGTCTTGTGCACTGATTTTTTATTTTATTTTTTTCTTTTCAGCAATTGCAGCAGAAGAAATAGTTCTTCAAGGAAGATGAATGTTTAGATGACAGGGTGATACATACTTTAAAAATATCTGAGTTAGGTGGTATTGGCAGGAAAAGGAGCCAAAGCAAGGGAGAGCTTAAAAAAATATGACACACTTAGCTTGTGGGTACTCTTTAAAAACATGTTTATTTGGATTCAGAGTGTTCCAATACCATTTAAACATCCTTAGTTGGGTTAGTGTTAATAGAGGAAATAAATTAGCTGAATAATATTTCATCATACTTCTAAGAGTAATCAAGCATTTCAGTTGTTAGTCATGCATTAATGCATACAGACTTTCAGAATAAATAAGTACTCTTCTTATTGACATACAAGACAATTTACATATAAAATGCAAATGCACATGCATAGATTTCCCTTACTGTATGTTCAAACAGGCTGTAGTCTTGCAGTTTTAAGAGGCCCCATTTTAGAGTGCCAGTTAAGTTCCTCAAGATACAGCAGCCTAGTGATTTTATTTTGCGGTCAGGATAGTTCTGCAGATGGAAAAAATTCTTCTAGTTTTGTAAGAGACCCAGTGAAGATCGAGATTGCATAACTCACTGCAGAATAACTAAATAAACTACCACCAGTGTTCAAAACTGTGAGGTTCAAAGGGACCAGGTGCTTAATTACTGCCTATACACGAGTATTATCATTAGTATGACTTTTTTTTTTGGTGGAACATCAGTGATGAAGATGTACGAGTATCAAACAATGCGTTATGTTTGCAATTCCAACTTGTTAC